ACTTGCTAAATAAAGAAAGGCAATGGTAAAACTTCAATCAAATAAAGTCCGATCAAAAGAAGAGTGCGTAGTACTGGCCTCAGAGAACAAGTTGTATCTTTAAACCACATCCCTGGAGTGGAAACATCTGAGGAGCACTGGGTTAGTTAAGATATACCAGCATTTCTCTGTGGATGACTGGAAAAGAATGTATTATTTACTAATGATGGACAACACACACACACACATATGCAAGCCAAATCAACAAATGACTGAACAATTACACAACAAAGCAGTGGCAGGTATTTTTTGAAGTTTTATCACAAACTCTTTGGGAAATAATGAGTGTGTAATGGAGTGATGTCAAGGGCTCAGACGTGTGCGTCTTCTTTGCACTGCTGCAGGCTAAAAGATGTGAATTTGCTCTGTCTGCGTTTCAGATGTAGTTTGTCAGCTGTGTTGTTTGATGTGGACAGGAGACACATTAGCAGACTACAGGTTAGCGCTCTGTGGCATTTCTTCTGGTATGTGAGTCAGACCTTTTCCAAGAACCACCATCCAGGCCACATGTTCTGGTTAATTACACCCTGCTTGCTGTGTAACAGGATCTGTATTTAACACGACCGCTACTGCTTCTGTTGTCAGACAATGGAACAAGCATAAAGTAGTGAGTGAAACATAGCCAAAAAGAGAACATATGAACTAGCAGTCCCATGCAAACAGTTTTTCAACATGCTGCTCTACACTGCCTAAATAAATAGTTTAAAATTGTAGCGTTGTTTGACAAAATGTTGTAGTTGTAAAATGACCAGTGGACACCAGAACTTTCACTGTTTTGTCACTTATAGCTCCACATGTACAAGAATTAGAAGTGGAATTTAAAAAATCTAATTATGAGACCTAATGAAGATGGATAGCGTGCGAGTGATAATCAAAACTGTTGTAACAGTAATCATGAGTGATTGAAGAGTTATAATGGCTTCTGAATTGACACCATGGACAGTGCACTACTTGCACAATCATGCTCTAAAAACCTGATGGACAATCGCTTCGGAATTGGCAAAGGGTTTATCAGTGTCAACCAAAGTTTCTGTGACAGCTAAAACAGTGTGAAGGATTTTGTATAACATCAATGTCAGTGCAGAGCACCAATGAAAGAAGCCTTTGCTTACACTT